ATGATTATATGAAGGTACAAGTGAGAGACAGAGCATTCATAGGAGACAGATTTGTTGTGTCATAGCACATGGTTGGTGTACATACTTTATAGAATATTAGCTACAACAAATCTCCCCTAACACCACCACCAGCCTTCTGTTATCTTACATATGTGTCATCTTGGTTTCCACCACTTACTTAGCTCCTTGCTCTCCATCCATCTTGTGCAGTGCTTGGGACATAGATAATCAACAGATATATAGTTGAATGAAATGCATATAGAGGCCATATTAGCAGTTCTTAACCTAGGTTGCACATGAGAATTACTTAAGAATTAACCAAAAATACTGCTGCTTGGGATATCTGCCTGAAATTCTGCTTTAATTAATCTAGGAAGTGTTTCTCAGCTGCAACTGCACATTAGAATCACATGGTGAAATTTTAAATTCCACATGCTCAGGACCCATTCCTGGAAAATTACATCAAAATCTCTGGGGGTGGGTCTCATGCATCACTTTTATATTTGCTCAGGTGACTCCAGAATTTACCTGGGACTGGGCATTATTGGGCTAGAAAGAAAATTTATGTAGGGGACCAGCAGTTAACATAATGGCTATGTCGCTGGACTCCCATGTAGTCGACCGCGGTTCACGTCCTGGACCCAATGGCTTAAAACTCACGCTGGGCGTGTGTGCGTGCATGCCCAAGATCCCAAGAGGAGAATGGAGAAGGGATTGCGGTGTGACCACCCTCCTGGGGGGTGATTTCTTGCTTTCTATCTCTCTGTCTCTGTCTCTGTCTGTCTGGCGATTGCACACGCCCTATAGCAAAAAAAATCTCTCCAAAAAAAAAATTTATGTGCACAAGCAGAGGATTATTGTGTTCTTAGACAAAGACAAAAAAACTAAATTAGGAGAGGAGTGAGTCATTTTTTGCTGATGCCTAGTAAAATCTAATTTTTTGTCCTTTCCAACTTTGTTAATTTAATTAGTATACAGGGTTGTGTCTTTAAGTCTACTTTCTTTTTTGGCTCGTCATCATTTCTATGGGGTTGAATAGTCCTCTCAAAATTCATGTTCACCCAGAATTTGTGAATATGACCTCCACTGGAAATAGACACTTTACAGATATAATCAAGGTAAGACAAGTCATTCTTGATTAGAACAGGCTCTAATCCAGTGACTTTTCTTTTTCTTTTTTTTAAAGAGATTTTTGCTATAGGGTGTGTACATTCACAGGAGAGGCAGAGAGACAGAAAGTGAGAAATCACCCCCAGGGGGATGACCACACTGCAATCCCTTCTCCTCTATTTTCCTCTTGAGATTTTGGCAACGTGCACACACACACACACACACACACACACACACACTTACACGGCATGAGTTTTATTTATTTATTTATTTATTTTCCTAGAAAACCTGTTTATCATTCCTTCCATGTATATTTCAATAAGTGATGATGCTCCCATTTAAAGAATTCACTATTAGCCTAATGTTCTAATGGAGAAAGGGGACATGATACTCATCACCTCCTGTGGAACAAACATTCACCTGTCAACTTAAGATCAAATCCTAGCAATATAGGAAATTCAGAAACAATAAGATTTTGGGTTTATAGTTCATGGATGGTGCAGATGTTCTAATCTTATAAAGTAATGCTCTTAGCTTTCCAAATTCCCAAAAGTGAAATACTCCCCCATCTCACCATACTGACCAAGTGTCCTTTGGTTTCTTCAGAACAAGGGTTAAAAGGATGTTTCAAAGTACCATTTTGATTTGGGGGGTCTTTTCCACACACATCATACCAAGTAATCATTTGTTTTAGAGACAGTTTAAATATAGGCATGAGCCAAATGGATTTTATCTACCTATCCTGTTGGTGGGAGAAAAAAAAATCCACATCCATAAAACTACTTCACTTGACAGGATGTGTTTATCAACAAATAAGTAGTTTAAACAATTTTCACCAATAAAGTGTCTACTTCGGCTTTTAAAATGGGAAGGTCATACATTTAAAAAGTAAATGTAGTTGAAATTGTGAATCAGGTACATTTTGAACCAAATGAACCATGCAGAAGCAAGGGTTAATAAACAATAAACCAATGTGCTTTGAATTTGTTCAAGTACTGATATTTCTGTATATAAAGACTAAGCATATATAACAGCTATCATGAGAAGTGTAAAAAGATATTTTCCCCAAAAATAAAAATATTAAAACTAAGTTAAAATACATAGTATTCCACACAGCATAAAAGTCAATAAATCAAAAGTTTACATGTCCCAGATGACCATGTGTCAAAGCAGGCATTAAAACTGATAGTAATATCCAATACTTAAAACCAGTTTGCAATTGGGGAACAACAATTAAGTTGTTAATTAAAAAACACAAATGAAGAAAGCTTTAAACTGGTACACACTGTACAAACCTATATTTCAAGTTTGGAAGTGCATATTTGCAAGCAGCAATACAAAAGTATTCATGAAGAATGCATAATCTCTGAAAATTATGAAAACTTCCCTGCTACCAATACATTTCTAAATGACTAAAACTGACTTACCTTATTTGTTACTTTTGTGTAGCAAGAGATGTTCATTTTCAAAACAGATAAAATTCAGTCTTTAGTTGTGAGTGGTATGAATGACATTTTTAGCTGCCAGGTCTGGGACTCCAACTCCAACCCGGGTCAACTAACTACATGTGAGTCCAGGGACATAATCATTACGCCATCTGCTGGCCCCAACTGGTGTTCTTTTAAGAAAAGAGAAATCTGAACACTACAAAGGAAATCTCCATGTGAAGGCAGAGATATCAATCAGAGTGACAAGTTTCCAATCAAAGGAATGGCTAACAACTTTAACAAGCTAGGGCAGAGAGGCATGCACTGTTCTCCTTCAGACTCTCCAAGGGGAGCTAACTCTGATGACACCTTGATTTTGAATTTGTGTCCATAACAATGAGAATAATACATTTGTTATTTTTTAAGCCACTAAATTTATGTGATTTGTTATATGCATTCCTAAGAAAATAATGCAGTGATTTGACTGCTATTTATAGCATTGAAATATATTAAGATTAGAGTCATGTTTCTGAAATTATTCATTTATTTTGTCACACACACACTGCTATTTACTAAACTTTCTCTCACTACAAGTCCATGTTCCCATTCAAGGAAAAGTAATAAATTCATGTTTTTTCAGGAAGCTAAACTGGAAATTATTGAGTGAATTATATATTTAAACTTTTATAGAAGGCTCAAATCAATAAAGCAAAACTTCTAAAGATAAAAAATAGAAGCACATGTTTGTCACTCTTGGGTCCATCAACACATACTATCACTGACTCTATAAACTGAAAGGAGGGTGTCTTCTCCAATCTTCAGCGATGCTGTGAATCAAGAATTTGTGTAGTTGAGGACCAGCAGTTAGCATAATGGCTATGTTGCTGAGCTCCTGTGTAGTCAACCATGGTTCCAGTCCTGGACCCAGTGACTTAAACTCACGGTGGGCGCATGTGTGTGTGTGCCCAAGATCCCTACAGGAGAATGGAGGAGAAGAGATTGCGGCGTGGCCATCCCCTCTGGGGGGTGATTTCTTGCTTTCTGTCTGTCTCTGTCTTTCTGGCAAATGCGCATGCCTTATAGCAAAAACCTCTCAAAAGAAAAAAATTGTGTAGTTGGACCTGATTAGAAGCTTTGTTCATTCAGTATGAGAACTTTGAACTGAAAGTGTCATAACGTAGAATACTATTCTCTGTAAAGTAGATGTTGTCTCTAAAAAGCAGGGAGAGGGATTTGATGAAAATTCTTTGTTAGTTATGGGTTCAACTGTGTCTCTTCAAAAACTAAATGTTGAAATCTTAACCTCCCCCCCACCCCAGTACTTCAGAGTGATGATGGTAAAATGCGGTTGTCAGGGTGGAAATTAATCCATTATGATGGTTGTCCATATAAAAAGAGATTGAGACACAGACACACACAGGTGACAGCAAGAAGGTAGTCATCTATAATTTGGGGAGAGAGACCTCAGAAAAGAACCCTGCAGATACCTTGATCTTGAAATTTCAGCCTCCAGAATTATGAGAGATTTTTGGTAAGATTGCCAGTCTGTGGTATATTCTGGCGATCTAACTGAGGTACTCATGTGCAGTGTATCTACACGATCTAGATTTTTTTGTTTGTTTTTAGAGAAGTTTTTGCTTCAGGGCATGGGTGCTTGCTAGAAAGAGACAGACAGTGAGAGGGAAAGTGAGAAATGCAGCCTCCCACACCCCCGTCCCAGGGATGGCCGTGCAGCAATCCTTTTTCCTCCATTGTCCTCCCAGGATTTGGGGCTCGTATGCACATGCACTTGGCGTGATTTTCAAGCCACTAGGTCCAGGACTCGAAATGCGATCAACCATGTGGGAGTCCAGCGACATAAGCACTATGCCATCTGCTGGCCCCTAGACATAGTTTTAAACTTTAGCAGCCTGAGTGCTACACATGAACTGTGCATCTGTGTAAGCAAGCATATAGGGAATGTCTAAACAGATTCTCCCATAAGAGTTAACATTATTTATCTGTGGATGGTGGGACTGTGGGTAGGCTTTTCTTTCTTCTTTGTTCTTTTCTATTGAATTTAATTCTTTTTGAAAGATTTGTGTGTTTTACTTGTGCAGTCATATTTTAAAATCTTCTCTTTTCACAAGAAAAGAGAAATAGTATTAACCTATTTCTGAGTCAAGTGGCCCCTTTTACCCTCTAGGACAGATCTAGAATATAGCGCAAGCAAGAAACCTCCAGCCCAGAGCAAACGTTGAACCAGCCCTGATGTGGTACAGTCTACTCTGAAGCAGGAATTTTGACACTGACCTTGTATTACTATCAAGCACCTTAATGATGGGAAAGTGCTGGAATAAACATATAAGCTCAAATTTCATCACCTAACTTTGACACTTTGTCTACTCAAGTAAGCAACACACAGACCAGGAGAGTCATGCCAGCTTCTTAAAGTCTAGAGAATTAAGTCCTTTAGAAGCAAAGTTTTCCAAGTTCCTTTTTATTTAAATGAATCAGGACTGTAACCTGTACATGAAAAGATCTTATGAAAAGCCTACTTCTTGAATGCAATTTCATAAACACGAAATTTTGTTTGAACAGTTTTTCACTGCTGATCACTTTTGGTAATGACAAATCCAGTGCAAAAATCTCAAAGCAAATGGATATTTACATTGTGCTTTCTTCACGTTCTAAAAATACAAACCAAATACAAAGGATCCAGTCACACTAGACAGCAAAACTAAGAATCACGACAGGACCATTTCATACTTCATTTCAGCATTCTCGTCAACAGTCAGACATGTATGTTAGCAGCACTCCGATTATGCTAATTATCATTATAAATCAGAAAACTCCATTAAAATGTACACTGAAATTGGCATCTGTTAAAACAACTCCACTTTCTAATAAACAGCATTTCTCTCAAGATCTCTCCCTCCCTCTGTCTCTCTGTATTTTGAATTTGCTAGAAGAAAAGCAGGTTTTCTCTGGGAAGCTCTTGCATGCTATTTCCAAACAGAATATGACACTCATCGAGAAAGTAAAATGAATATCTCTGAGAGGAAGGATGTGCTGTAGATTTCACACACTTTCTGTGAAATGTATTTTTGACAGCACCAATACTTAACACTGACCCAATAGTAAGTTCATTTAGATGAAAATCCTACAATACTCAGTTGTTGAAAATACTCTGATCACAGTATCAAAAGGTATATACAAAATTTACTATACACAAGATGCATCTTTCCTGCAAACTGGCATGCATTTAGCGCACTCGCATATGGAAGTATGCTGGAAACTGAGCTATCACATTTGAACAGCTGTTTGACAAAGAAATGCATGGAATAGGAACAAACACCCCATATGTTGTAGTGTCTAAACAGAACCCAGTGTAAAAAAGTAAAAATCAAAAATGGACAAAGGACGGGGTTATCCGTGAACAGTGATGGACACGTGAGCTATGAATGGGATTGTGTTCATTCCTAACAGTATTGTTCAGAGATAATGATGCCATTTCCTCAGTGTCCCCACATAACAATGTTGTCACCAGAGATCCTTCTGCTTCTTAAAGTTCTTGGAGGCCCAGAAACTACCCACATTCGTGAGCCTCTCCACTTTCAGTGTCTTGATGCTGAAACAAAAATAAAACAAAATTTTAGAAAACGTCTTGGATTTATTAAAGAGAAAGACCAGAAATGCATAATCCTAGTATGATCTTCCAACCAGAAGCCCAAGAACTACAGAAAAGATGAACTTTTTCAAGACATAATTTTCTTGGTTCAGCCTTGTTTATATCATCTCATGGTTTTAGTTTCTGAGATAGCTTTATAAAAAAATTCCCATGGAAATATCTTTCTTGCAAGACCACTTTTGAAAATGTAGGACCAGCAGGTAGTGTGGTGGTTAAGGCAGCTTGATTCCACATGGATAAGTGCATGTTTTGAGTCCCAGGCCTAGCTGCTTGGAAAATATGCATGTGTGTGTATGCTCAAAATCTCAAGAGGAGGAGATTGCAGTGTGGCCATCCCCACTAGGGAGTGATTTCTCACCCTTCCCCCCCCAAGTGAGTGCACACACTCTCCTATAGCAAAAACTGAAAAAGAGAAAAGAAAAAAGAAGTAAAAAAAAAAGTATAGAAATGTATAAAAAAAACTTTTAAGTCCATAAAATTCAAGGTACATGATTAGTACAAAGACATTAGATCTTATTTTTTCATTAACTAGAAGTGAAAAGGCACCTTATTTTTGGTACATATATAGCCACTGTGTGTGTGTGTGTGTGTGTGTGTGTGTGTGTGTGTATGAATCATACTGTATAACCTATACACTGACCTAGACTTTGCACCTAATATATTAGGATTAGTTAAGTTTTAATGTTTTCAAAATTCAAAATTAAAATTCTATAAATTCTGTATATAAAAGTCTTGAACTTACCTCAAGCAATTTCACCTTTATCTGTCAATGCCGTGATGGGCTAAAGAATAGAAAATACAGAGATTGAACACTCATGGATAAAGCTGTGTATAGCGGTTTCCTCACCTCTGTGCTGAGATGTAGGCAGTGACTAAAGGTAAGATAAGTACCCAGTACACTTTGTAAAGTTCATCAGGAACAAAGTTTGTCAGGTAAAATGTTGGTGCTTCTAGCTTCTATATTACTTTTAAAAAAGAGGACATAGAGGCTAAAGAGAGAAACAAACTATGACTAGAATTGTGAATGTTTACACTAAGGTTTAAAGTTGTAAGGATTTGTGTCGGAGAAAACAAATCTCCAGAAACCAGATGACCTCTCTACTACAAGGATTCTTTTTTTTTTTTTTTAAATATTTTAAAGTTTATCTTTAATTAAAATATTTCCTTTAAAATTAACAAGATGTTAGTAGAACTTCATATATTCTTCAACAATGTCCATCTCTAAGACCAGAAGACAGAAGCAAATGGAATTTCTGCAGGAACTCTGCTATAGCTATAGAGCCTCAGGTGTGAGACCAGACAGTGCACATGTCCCCTTGGTGGCTCTCTGGGTTAATGAATAGTCTGGAGTTATTCTGTGGCCATGACCCTGACAATCAAAAAAAGGTATACGCAAGGGGAGTCGTCAGCTGTGTGTGGAAGGTCTGCAGTTTCGACTGTGGTATCTCTGCTTTGCTCTGACTGTGAGGGAATTAAACTCTCTGAACTCTAGGACAGCCCTGCACAGTGTGCATGCCGAGCCCACAGGACTGGGGAGGAAGTGAGCTGAGGACGTAAAGGACCTTCAAGGCAAGGTGAGGTCCTTCCAAACTGCTTGACTTTGGAAACCTCACATGCTTGGTCCCATGTGTTGCCCCTGCACTCTTCTTTATGCTCTCAATATAGAGACATTATTTACTAAAGGTGCTCAGAAGGTCCCTGGAAAGGGTACAGGCATGGGCAGGGGCTCAAGGCTGAACCTGATGGACTGTGGTCTGGAGATCATTCCTAATCTACATTTACCTTCTTGAACAGAGGGACGCCAAGCTAACTGGACCCTTTGCT